CAAAAATCTCAAATTTTCTTTGTGTAATCCCTAAAACCTCCTAAATGCATTTCAAACGTTTTTTTTTTCGTTATAGTTTATATGTTATTTTCTCTATCGAAATCTCAAAACGGGATCAGTCTATTTGACTGACCTCGTAACCACCAAAAAAAAATCTAACTTAACCTTCTTTTCTTTCTAGTATGACTTCAAATTGTAACATGAAACTACATTTGTTTATCCTAAGTAGCTCTAAGTTCGTAACATTAAATTTTATCATTTTATTGCCCTTTGAACTGTGTCTACCTGCTATCTGCGCCATTATAAGTTGTAAATCACTTGGGGAACATGCAGCTCATGTTATGCTATCGAATTACATTAACCATGAGCTGCTTGCATTCGTGCTTCGTGAACAATTTTAATTATATTCTTATTATTACTTATTTTACCTATTCTAGTCTTAAATAACTTAAAAAGATCTGTTCTTTTAATTTTAGTTACAGTTCTAATAATAAATAAAAAATAAATATGAATAACAAAAAATAAAGTACTAACCCAATCTTCTTTTTTCTTGCCCTCGATTGTCGAGGAGAGTTAAGCCTGATTTGTTTTAGTGATCATAGTAAAGCACTTAACAATTTTTATTTAATTAAATTATACACCAAAGAATATAGACTAATAACATGCAAGAAGTAGACAAATTCACTTACTTCTAAAAATTGTCCTGGCTTTCTAACCATGCAACAAGAGCCATTACAAATTCATTCAAGCTAGTTGTTAAATTTCCCATGGGAACGATGTTGCTACTCAGAGTGAAATTGACAGTTATTTGTTCAGAACACAACGTTATACAATATGCCATTTGATAGATGAAAATCTTGACATTCTATTGGTTATAGGTAAAATATAATGAAACGTAAGATAGAACTATCAATCAATTGTGAAAGAGAGGATGTGACAGGTGGGTGTGGCAGGAGGGGTCTGATTTTCTCTTTGATAGCTCTGTAACCAAACAAAATTGAAGGCCATAAAAGTATGGTCTGTTTGAGCAGTAACGATTTTATAGAGAGCATTTTATGTTTAATTTCGTACATTTTCAAGGGGTGATGGATAAAATAGGCTAAGACAAAATGTGTCATGTGTGTTATGCTAGTGGAAATTCAGGATTTTTTATATATTTCATTTTAGAATTAAGAACTTAAAACTTGTATACTAATAAAATTTTGATTATTTGCTAAGATTTTATGCTATTCTAATTGGTATAACATAAACAAAAAGTATTTAATAAAATTTTGAATGTAAGACACTAAAACCTTGTGTCATGCGCTGTAAAGGGTACCTGGGCCGATAGAGTTAATGTACACACCATCTTCATGAAGGGTAAGTACATTTTCTCTTATATCATCATCTTATAGGATCATGCCAGGTAGCTGTTGTTGCCTCCCAGAGTATGCTTCTTTCCCAAAATCTGCATAGGTCAATTGTAATGAAATGTTCTCAACCCATCCTCCTTGGCTCTATTAGTACCCACTCATGAGATGAGGTATTCCACAATTCCGCTTGTGGTATCCTCATGATGTTAATATTACTCAATTGCCTTGAGTTTACTGGCTTTTATAAATAGGTTTTTGCAGTTACCCATTCCACTGTCTCCTGTAAAAAACCTTTCTGATATGATGCATATATACTTCCACTCACACAATACCTTTTCTTGATCTTCCACTGCACCTCCAACACATTGAAAATAAATTTGTTTCCTTGATGTGCTGGTCTTTATACCTCATAAGTTTGAGCTGCTCGCTTAGCATGCATAGAGAATGCAACAACCTTCCACAAGTAGGCACTACACACCCTCCTGGACCCCTCTGTAATACCATATGTGAACCTCACTTCCTCAGCACGATATAAATCAGACTTGTTTCTCACTTGCTTTCAGTTTTCAATATTTTTTTTCATATTTTAGACTTTGTTCATATTTGTTCTTTTTTTTTAGTATTTTGCTTTGCAAAGGCTTGTATTTTGGTGTGTTATTAACTTTGATTACCATTTTCACACAAATTATTGTGAATTATGAATTCACAATTTACAGTGATTACCACCATGGCTCCTTAAGTTACTGGGGACACATAAACTCCTGTTACCCAGGCATCAGGATCGATGTTGTCTGCTGAGGAGAGAAGTCTTGGTTCTTTGGGAGTTAGCTTCTTACATGAGACCTGGGCCGCCTTCTTCACAATGGCCAGTGCTTCTTCAGGCTGATGAGGATCATTTAGACAGCCTTTTGTCTGCTTCATCTGTTGCTATACAGCCACATTCTGCACCTTTGGAGGGGGTTCAGCATTCTACCCCTTTCCTCCAATTAATTGTGATGACTCTCCTTCCCTTTTGTGTGAGATCCCTAACTTGGATTATTTGGTGTTTCCCCTTCACCTGATATTGAGGTTCATGCAGAGTGCTTTTTATCATGATATCTAGTTCACTTGGGAGTTTTCTTCTATTCCCACCTCAGTTGGGCTCGGCCTTCTCTACTATATATTCAGGATATGAAGCAGGTAGTCATCAAGGACCTATCCTCTCATTCTCTTCCAGCTTTAAAGGTTGTAACTCTTTTGGGGAATATGGGCTTTCTTGTAAACTTTCATACCCCTTGGTCATGCTCATGTGCATTCCCTCCAGTGGGAATTCCAAAATTGATCCCTTGAATAAATTGGTTGTCTTTCCTTCTTCCCTTCTGATCAAACTTGTTCTGTGGTTGGACAGAGACAATACTACAGATGGTCTTCCTCTTCCATCTCGTCATCCAGATCTGCATCTTTTTTATGAATGCTTATTTTGGGGATTGGTATGCATATCTCTGTCCATGAGATACCCGGAAGTTCGTCATTGGCTGAGTCAGGGCTTCTTTTCAATATTTTGGAGCTCTTTGCTGTTTATCGAGTTATGTCTCATTTCATCCCCCCTTGACGTGGATTCCCGTACATGGTGAGGGGACCTCCCAGGGAAGGTTCTGTATTTTCAGTTCCTTCCTCTGGGATCTAAACATCCACCTTCGTGTTTGCCATGCGTGGCGACCCGTGAAGGGGAGGAGAGGATCCTTGTGGTGTCTGGGGCACTGCAACACACCACTTTGGCCTTGAATTCCTGTAGACAGGTGACCTTGGGGTGGCCAATCGTTTGGTCCACTTGGGCTAGGGTCAACTGAGTACCAGTGTTGGGCGATTTCAATGGGTTTTGTGGACATCATGTCTGATGCTGGTGTTTGGGTATAGTGCTCACAAAACCCTGACGTTGCTGCAGTGTTCTTGTTTGACATTGGATTCTCACACTGATGACAGAGATCTGCCCAGTCGATCAAGGGCAGGATCCATGGAGGTCAATCGACCTCCTTCTAGTAAAGAAAAACGGCATGGTCGTAAATCGAATGGTTCCCCACCCTATTCTCCTAAACATACATAACAATGGCTACTTTGATACAGTGAACGAAAACCTCGACAGTTCCCTTAATTCTTTTGGCTTTGATGTCGAA